TCTTTTTGGGTCACAACTGGCAATGCACAGGGGTTACTCCTGGCTCTTTGCACTCAGGAATTACTCCTGGAGGTGCTTGGGGACCATGTGGGATGCAGGGGATTCAACCCTGGTCATCAATGTGCGAGGCAAATGCCCTACCCGCTGTGCTATCGCTCCAGTCCCCAAGACTGGCCTCTCTGAAGGGCAGACACAGAATGATCTCTCTCATGCGCGGTGTATAAAGGGACATAGTGGAGAATAACACACGCCCAAAGGCAATGGAAGCAAAGAGTAAGAGAATTGGTTTCCAGTAGGAAAAGCTTGTCTCTGGGGGGGGGGGCTAGGGGTGGTAAACAGGTCAGGGAAGGGAACAAGATGGCACTGGTGGAGGGGAGTGGTCAATCTAGACGAGAAAAGAGTGCTGAAAGGAGGCAAAAAGTACCGCCATAGAGGCAGGCTGGCTGAGGGGCGGAGGGAGACTAGGAACATTGGTGGAGGGAAGTGGTCGCCGCTGAAGGGATGGTGCTGGGACACTGCGTGCCTAAAACTCGATCATGCGTAACTCAGTAACTTTGTAATTCACCATGATCCAATTAAAAAACAATTTTTAAAAGAGTGGTCTGGGAGCAATAGCACAGCGGGTAGGGCATTTGCTTTGCACATGGCCGATCCGGGTTCGATTCCCAGCATCCCATATGGTCCCCCGAGCACTGCCAGGAGTAATTCCTGAGTGCATGAGTCAGGAGTAACCCCTGTGCACCACCAGGTGTGACCCAAAAAGCAAAAAAAAAAAAAAAAATAGTCTTTCTGAAGACCAGTTGGAGTCTGCGGCCTACCCCTGAACCCTGAGTGGCCACATCAAGAGCGAAAGCAAAGGCTGGGCGTGCAGTGAAGGAGCACCTGGCTGGGCGAGCCCTGGGTCGATTCAGTACTGCTGAGGGAAGAATCGCCAGACCCTGTCTCCAGAGGACCAAGATAACAGCTCCCACAGCCCCAAGGGAGCCCCGAGACCCAGATTCCTACGTTCCCCCCAAGTCATCTGACAGTGAGGCTGAGGCCCAGGTCCAAAGTGGCCAGGATCAGGTTTAAGAACCCACTTAAGTGGGCCGGAGTGATAGTACAGCGGGTAGGGTGCTTGCCTTGCACACAACTGACCTGGGTTTAATCTACAGCACCCATATGGTCCCCGGAGCCTGCCAGGAGTGATCCCCTCAGAGCAGAGCCAGGAGCATCACCAAGGGGTGCCCCCCCAAAAAAAAATTTAGACATTTACAACTCTTATCAGACTGCCAATGCCCCAGAAGTCCCTGACAGGACACACAGGTGGAAAATTCCCTCTGGGCCGCTAGGAACTCCAACTCTTGAGGGCCCAAGGACGCCTTCTGGACACAGAGCTGGGCCCCACCCCTCAGTGCATGGAGCCCGGCCAGGCTCCAGAGAATGTGCTACTCACTTGACCTGGGTCAGGTGGTACCTGGCAGCTACAAAGGACCACACCTTCCTTCCCACCCCCTGGCTCCATGCGCTGCCCTGAGCGAGCAGCCAAGGGGCAAAAGCAAGGGCGCAAGGCCCATTGGTCGGTGCTCAGAGCCCATGTCCTACAGATGAAGCCGAAAGCCCAGGAAACGGACACGGACCCACTGTGGGTGAGAGGACCCAGTGGTCCTGGGATCTCTGAGCCGGCACGAAGTCTTCAGCACCCAGCTGTGACTGTTACCCAAGGAGTTCCGCAGCACCAAGGGGCCCAGGTCAGGCTGGTCACCCCGGCACCCCAGGCCTTGAATGGCTCTGCTCCTCCCTCTCTGGGGAAGCTTCATGGCCCTGGGCTGACTTCCCACCACTCCCCCTGCACGTCCCTCCTGAAAGCTTTGACAGCAGGACCTTCCACTCAGAGGTGGGGCTCTGAGATCTAAAGGTCGGCCCAGGTCGAAACAGGGGTCCCTGGTTCCTTTGAGTATTGCAGAAGGACTAGAGGAAATCTTACAGGATATTAACTGCTTTCAGGCTAATGAGCAGATCCAATTGCTTCGCTTTGATCTGGAATGATGTCAACTTGGACTGGTAACAATCGGCTATTTCAGGCTGAAAAGGCCTGAGTGACCTCACTTTGAATGAGTTTCTAAAAGCAAGAACAGGGGCTGAAGAGATAGCCCAGCAGGTAGGGTGTTTGCCTTGCACGCAGCCCACTCGGATTTGGTCCCCAGCATCCCGTATAGTCCCCTGAGCTCTGCCAGGAGTGATTCCTGGGTGCAGAGTCAGGAGTAAGCCCTGAGCATTGCTGGGGCATGGCCCCAAAACAAAAACAAAAGAAAAACTTATTTAAAAATAGAAGCAAGAACAAATTTGCTCTCAGACCTTATAAGTATGGGTTGCTCGCAGTTGGGGGCTCAGGAAACCCCTCCCACACTGTGGGTTAGCAGGCAGGGGAGACTGGTTGCCTTCAAGAGGTGAAGAGTAGGAGTCTGGCTGTGAGCCTTCTATTTCTTCCTCCTCTGTCACTGTAGAGGAATCAGACACTGCCTTTTGGTCCCAGGGAGGCCCTGGAGAAGCCAGCGTCTGGAAATGCTCGCTGCCGCGGTATTTACACGCTTTACCATACATGGGCATTACTCCAGGCTGACGTCAGGCAAATTCCTAGGCGGCTGCGTAGCACTGCCTTGTCAGTACCTTCAAGACTCCTGACAACTGGAAGTGCAGGTTCCTGTCTGGTCAGTACTCAGGACGCCCCCTCCTGACCCCACTCCCCCAGTCGTGTGTGTGTGTGTGTGTGTGTATGTGTGTGTGTGTATGTGTGTGTGTGTGTCCCCAAGTGCAAGCCTATTCCTCAACCTCAAACACATCACACTTAGTGAAAGATTTCCCACTCGGATCTGGGACCTGACCACCCGGGATCCCCCCTTGTCCTTGGCATCGAATTTGAAGCCCACAGGCTGAGTTCCACCCCTGACTGCCCATATGCACTGTCTTACTGATAAAGTTTGTCTACCCCTCCAAGCGCTTTATAGAGCCAAAAGCTTGCAGGTCCTTGGGGGAGTGGATCTAGAATAAAATCGAAGAGACCAATAATAGTTATCCTGGCTGGGCATGAGCTTGGAAAGCCATGGACCTAGGTTCCCATGGCCACTCCTGCTGTAGTGTTGAGCCTCTGGGCCTCAGTTTCTCTATCTGTCAAATGGACAGCAGTATCCCACCCTCACTGCGTCCAGGACAAAATGCATGAAGGGCTCAGACAAGTTTCTGGCAAGCAGCAGACTCATGACTGTTCCCTTCTGTGTCTCTCCTGGCGTCCACCAGGACAGTCCATGCAGGGTACATGACTGACATGAAGGAAAAGGTCTTTTAGGCTCCCTGGACACCTCCGTGGCCTTCCCAGCAGGACACCCACGGGGAACAGAGCAAGACCCATGAGCCCTGACTGGTTCTCAGTGCCCATGCCCCGGGGAAGCTGCCTGGCCACCCTGTCTGGCCACCCTGCAAGGTTCAGAGTGCCCGGTAAGCACCTCGCTGGGAGCCCGGTACGAAGTGTTTACTGCATGCTACTGCTGGCGCCGTGGGGCCTCCTGGCTGCGAGGGCAGGGAGAGGTTGGTGCCAAGGTGTATGTTAGGAGGAAGGGGCATGGGCAGCCTGGAGGCGTAGGTCTGCCACCGCTGGCCAGCCTTTCTCCCCAGCAGCCTCCCCAGCCCCGAGGTCTGACTAACGGCTTCCCCCACTCTGGCCACGCCCTCTGCAGGATAAACTTCCTTCCCTGCCCAATAGGTCCCCCCACACCGGATATGGCCCTGAGACACAAGGTCAGTCCTAGTCCTGAAGGGGCAGGACTCGGCTGGCTTCCGTTAGGATGGCAGTGGATGGCAAGGGGGTGGCCGGGCCTGAGCCAGGTCTCAGCTGGACAATCAGAAGGAAGCGGGGGTGCGGGGAGCAGGGGACCCAAAGACTGTCCCCTCACCCATCTGCTCGCTGAGGAGATGGAGGGGGGAGGCAGCACTGGGAAGAGTCAACAAGCTCCCTTGAATGTCCGATCTGTGACATGTCCCCAAAGCACCCCCCAAGAGAAACTGAACACTGAGAGGTTGCTTGTCCCAGGGACACCTCAAACTGAGCATTGAGAACCAGTCTAAGGGTGTCCCCAAAACTGAGCATTGAGAAGTCATTACTTCAGGGGCTCCCAAAATTGAGCGCTGAGAACCAGTCCAAGGGCACCCCCAAACTGAGCACTGAGAAGTTATGAGTCCAAGGGTCCCCCAAAACTGAGCATGGGAAAGCCGCTACCCCAAGAGCACACCTGAAATAAAGCCAGTCAAGACTCAGTTGCTTGTCCTCCAATTGTCTCAGGAATACAGAGTTCAGGGGCATCCCAGCTGCCTCTCTGACGGCACCCCAAGTCTGATGCTCCCAGGGAGCAGATGGCTCCGATCCCCTTGGGAGACCCTGCCTGGACCCAACTCTCGCTTGGGGTCCTGTGTGGATCAAAGCCCAAGACCCAACCAGATCCAGGCCGGAGGGCAGCCGGACACCTACCTGCAGGGCCCTGTGCGTCGCTATTGCTGCCAGGGGGGCGCCATCCCACCTATCCCCCACCCCCAGCTGAAAGACAGTTCGCTCAGCCCCGCCGGCGGCTCTTCCAGACTCCGGGCGGCTCCCCACCTGGCTCCCAGATGTGGGGTGCGGGGAGGTGAGCCCTCCAAATCCACATCCCGGAGACTCCTGGCACCTGCGCTAGGGCACAGCTGCGGCCTCCAGATGTTCCCGGCGCCCGGGTCGGGGTGGCGCGGGTGCCCTCATCCCCGGCCCCACAAAGCGCGACAGTGCCGCCCAGAATCGCCGATTGTTCTACGAGGGCCACGCGCGCGCCCGGTGGGGGCGCCCGGGGTGCGGGCGGGGCGGGAGCTGGCGGCTGCGGGACGGAGACGCGCCCCTGCCCGGACTCCCGCGGCCCGGCGCCCCCCACCCGCCCCTGGCTTCTTTCCAACTTTCCTGGTATGGCCCGCGGGTGGCACGGCGTCGGGGCCGCACTCACCTGGCAGCGGGCTCGGTCGGGGCGGCGCGGGCGGGAAGCGCTCTCGGAAGCGGCGGCAGCGCGCGCCCCGCCTGCGCCCCGTTTTGTTCCGCGGGCGGGAAGGCGTGTCCGGGCCACGCCAACCAGCGCGCTTTGCACACCGCCCCACGCCGGGCTGATGTCACGGCCCGGACGCCGCTCCGGGCGCCCCCGCGGGCCTGCTGCGCGCCGCCCCCGACGGGCAGGACCTCGGGGTTCCTGGTAGCCAGGCGGGAGCGGCAGGTCGGCCCTTTTAAAAGAGAAGGAGGCCTGGGCCCGGGCCCGGTCTCTGCGTCCCTGTCCAACCCTGCCCCTCACCTCGTAGGCACCCTGCGGACCCGAGCCCCGCCAGACAGCCCAGCAGCACCAGGCTGACACATCTCTGAGCGTGGACCCCAGATTCCCTCTGCGCGGTGTGGGGGGGAGGCCCCTGTAAGAAGTGGGGGTGGGGGAGGGGAGGCAAGAGTCATTTGGTCGCAAGGTGCGAAGAAGAGCCAGGTAAGGTCGCTTCACCTCTGATCCCGCCTCTTCCTCTTCCTAAGAGGTCCCTTGGTCAGACTCAGTCCCCAACTCCCCAACTCCCAACTTCTGCCCTCTGAAAGGCAATCGAGGGCGGAGAAAACACAGCGGGTAGAAATAGTGTTTACCTAGCCCAGGGTAATTACTACTCTAACCCGGGTTTCACCCAGTTTTAATTCCAGGCACCCCACGTGGTCAGGAGTGATCCTGAGCACCACTTGGTATGGACTCCAAGTCAAAGACCATAAAAAAGAAAGAAAAAAAAGGAAAGAGAAAGAAAGAAAGAAAGAAAGAAAGAAAGAAAGAAAGAAAGAGAAAGAAAAAGAGAGTATCCATAAGAAAGAAAAAAGAGGAAGGAAGGAAGGAAGGAAGGAAGGAAGGAAGGAAGGAAGGAAGGAAAAGATGGAACTTAAGAAAAGATAAAGTCATGCAATTTGCTACAACATATCTGGATCTGGAGAGTGTCCTGTTAAATCGGTCAGAGGGAGAGGCACAGACCCAGAATGAGCTCTCTCCTCTGTAGGACATAAAGAAATCTCGCAGAGGAATATCAGATACCCAAAGGCAACAGAGAGGAAGAGCAGGAGAACTGGTCCTCAGTAGGACCAGTCGTCAGTAGGAAGCTTGGCACTCCTGCAGGGGTGAGGGGGATAAGTTAGGGAAGGGAACACCAGGACCATGGGGAGGGGAAAGTGCCTGCCACAGAGGCAGGCTGGGGGGGGTGGGAGGGAAAGTGGGGGCATTGGGGGAGGGTAGAGGGCATTGGCGAAGGCATTGGTGTTGGAGCAATGTACACCTCAATCATAAATATCTTTATAACTTTGTAATTCAAGGTGATTCTGGCTGGAGAGATAGCAGAGCGGGTAGAGCATTTGTCTTGCACGCGGCCAACCCGAGTTCGATTCCCATCATCCCATATGGTCCCCTGAGCACGGCCAGGAGTGATTCCTGAGTGCAGAGCCAGGAGTAGCCCCTGTGCATCACCGGGTGTGACCCCAAAAAGCAAAATAAATTTTTTTTTAATTTTTTAAAGGAAGAGAGCAGTGTGGAGCGCCTTCAAGAGCATCGAAGAAGTTGTTAAAAGGACAAAGAACCTCCGGCTCTGGGCACATTTTTTTGACTCTACCATTCTTCCTGCACCTCAGAGACCTGGGCCCTACAAAAACAGGACGAGAACGCTACTTGGGCCTCCCAAAGAGGAATCGAAAGAGCTATGCTTGAAGTATCACGCTTCACTCAAGTGAGAAAAGGAATCCGGAGTTCCGATCTCCGTCGACAATCGAGAATCAGGGACACTGTCTTCTTTGCCAAGGCATCGAAAATCAAATGGGCCAGACACATAATGCGATTTAGAGATGACTGCTGGACAAGAGCCGTTACCAACTGGATTCCACGGGACGACAAAAGGACACGTGGCTGCCCACCTACGAGATGGTCAGACTTCTTCGTCAAAACCCTGAACAAACGGTTTGAGTCTCTTCGTGTTCCTGGAGCAAGCAGATGCCTTTGGGCTACACTAGCACACAACAGGGATGAATGGAGATGTTACTGGCCCTCGCTCAAGCAAATCAACGATCAATGGCATGACACGTGATACAAGTGATTTTTTTAAGAAAAGAAAACAGAGAGTGCAGTTGATAAAGGAACTTGCCTTGCCTGAGGCCACTTGAACCAGTCCTGGTTCAGTCCCCAGCAGTACGTATAATTCCCCTGAGCACCACCAGGGGCTCGTCCTGAGCAAAAAAGCAGGAGTCAGAACCAGGCACAGTACCTGAACACTGCTGAGAGTGGGATGTGTCCCCCCACACCAAATTAAAGTTTAAAAAGAACCTGTAATGGGACCAGAACTATAGTACAGAAGATAGGGTGTTTGCCTTGCATGTGGCTGACCCAGGTTCAATCCCTGGCATTGCATATGGTTCCCTGAGTACCACCTGGAGTGACCCCTGAATTCAGAGCCAGGAGTAAGCCCTGAGCACAGCTGGGTGTGGCCCCTTAATTAAAATAAGAATTTAAAAGAACCCACAAGCTTCCACAAGGGGCCCTGAAGCCATGTGGGAGTGCCACCCTCACCCTGGTGCCCTCAGTCATCTCCGCCCTCCGGGAAGCCGGAGCTGCCTGGCAGCTCAGTGCTCTGCACAGGGAAGGGGTCCCCAGGGCTTTCTCTCCTGGAGAAAGGGCCTCGCTTGGGGAGCAAGGGGTGCCAGGCTTTACTTTCTACTTTTTAAATGTTATTTTAGTTGAGGTTACATGGTTACGATACTATCATTGTTCATGTTTGTGATACAAAACTTACCGACCCTCCACCATCACCCAAGTACAAGCTATCCCGTCATTGTCCCAGGTTTCTTCGACTTGTACTTATTATTGTTATGCTGGTTCCAATATCATCTTAGACTTGTACCGCTGCCATGCTATGCCACCCCCACTTCATGTGCCAGGATCCATGCCCCATGAGCCCAGGTCCCTTCCCACCTCCTTGGCACTCTTAAGTCACAGCTCTACTGACCTTACCACTAGGTTTCTTCCCCCAAGAGTCACCTAAGCCTTTGTTTTGCTTCTCACATCACACGTGTGTGAGAGCCGTTGGTATTTGTCCTTTATTTCTCCTTTGGTTTTAGGGACACACCTGATAAGGCTCAAGGCTTATCAGGAATTACTCCCCAGCTGTGTGTTCAGGGATCACTCCTGGTGGGCTCAGGGGACCATGGGATTCTGGAGATCAAACCTGAGTCAGCCACTTGCAAGGCAAGACAAGCGCTCTACTCACTATACTATCTCTTTGGCCCCTCTTTCTTTCTTCGTTAGATTTTTTTTTCTTTTTGGGTCACACCTGGCGATGCTCAGGGGTTACTCCTGGCGTCACACTCAGGAATCACTCTACGCGGTGCTCAGGGGACCATATGGAATGCTGGGAATCGAACCTGGGTCGGCTGCATGCAAGGCAACTGCCCTACCTGCTTTAGATTTTTTTATTTTGATCACTGGGATTCACAATTCTATAATTCTGTCTACGATTGTCCTTTTCTGTCTCAGCTCACTTAGCAAGAATTTCTCCAATCTAGTCCAGTAACCTGAGGAGATTTTCTTTCCCCTGGCTGAGTGCTATTTCGTTGTCTGTGGTCCATGGTTCTTTACCTGCTCGCCTGGCCTTGGGCACTTGGCTTATTTCCAGATCATGATCCCTGGGCTTTACAAGAAAGTATTTACTCCCCACCCAAGTCCAGCCCCTTCCTGACCCGCCCCTGCACCACTCCCCCCCACGACACACACACACACACACACACACACACACACACACACACACACCACAAGAGCAGCCTTTTAGAGAACTCCTGGACTTGGTTTGGAGGAACATGAAAAACCTGATACCCAGCAAAGAAGCAAAACCCTCCGAAAGACAAAGCACAAGCTTCATGTTCATGAGTTTTCCAATTGTTCACTACCTTTTTTTCCCCTTTTTTTTACCAAGGGGCAACTAAAGGTCGGGGTGTTTGGTTTTGCTTCCCACTTCTCAGTGGCGGTGCGTGGTAGTTTCATCACATCTCTTTGTGGTGCTTTTCCAACATGGTGGTGTGTGAGGCTGGAGACTGAGGGGGCGATTCGGATAGCATAGACTGCGCACCTGCTGGGCTCAGAGCCAAGCGGCTGGGGTCCCGCGACTGGGGTCCCGTGGCTGGGGTCCCACCTGGCAGGCATGGTCAGACGGGGTTTGAGAGAGGGGAATTAACTTGTGACGATTTACATGTAAGGAAAGTCAGGCTCTGTGCTCAGGGCTTACTACCAACATCCTCGGAGACCAGGCAGTGCTGGCAGTTAAACCTGAGCCTCCTTCGTGCTCACTAACTTTTGGAGCTTCCTCAAACTTTTGTTTTGGTCTCAGGGCCACACCCGGTGGTGCTCAGGGCTAACTCTTGGCTCTGTACTCAGGGATCACTCCTGGAGGGCTTGATATATGGGTGCCAGGATCAAACCCAGGTGAACTGCGCACTCTTGAACACCTTACCTGCTGTGCTGTCTCTCTGGCCCATCCCCTACGTTTCCGTATCAGATTCTCTCTTCCCGAGCTCCAGGTGCTCTCTGGGGTCAAACTGCCATCATTCCCTCAGGCATCGCATCTCCTCAGAGGCAGATTTAGGATGGTTTACACTTGGGCACCCCTTCGCCTGCACAGTCCATACATATGGTACCAGATCTTCCAGCTGGACAGATATCAAGGCCTCGGATGCCCATAGACTGTTTACAGTCACAGGCAGTTAGGGGCTGAGTGGTAGCACAGTGGGGAGTGTTGCCTTGCACGCAGCAGCCAACGCAGGTTCGATCTGTGGTTTCCCAAATGGCGATGCCCAGGAAATGGTCCCTGAGCACAGAGCCAGGAAGAAACCCTGGGCACTGCTGGGTATGTCCCCCCCAAATCCAAACAAACAAATGTCAGGGGAGTTGAAGAGTGTTTTTACCAGAATAAAGTCATGAGGTTGAAGAGATGGCTCAAAGGGTCTGAGTGTAGGTCTGGTTTTCTGTTGGATTTTGGTGTGGGTTTAGTTTGGGGCCACACCCAGTGATGCTCAGGGCTTACTTCTGGCTCTGCACTCAAGAGGCACTTTAGGTAGTGCTCAGG